GTAAATAATTGATTTTAATTTATTATATGACCGGGATACCATCCTTTTAGGAGAAGAATCCAATGGCTTTTTTTTTTGGTTTTATAGATTTTATTTCTTCAGTTCTTAATCGAATTTAACAAGACTCTTTTGTAGTTACATAAATTATTTCAAGGCTCCTTTTCAAAAGATAGAAAGATCTAACAAATATCTTTGATTTTGACTGAGTTATATTTTTTCTTTTTGTCTTCGATGTGTGTAGTATATTATTTTTTTCAACTTGGTTAGTATTTGTTTGATCTATATTTGTATGCTTTTTTTTTTGTCAACAAGATTTTCTTCATTAGATTAAACTGGAGAATCAGTTACAAGGGCATACGAACCCAACACAGGTCTAAAACAGAAAAATTCAAATGTTTCGGAATGATATAAAGAGCCACGGACTAAACCATGGTGTTTGGAAACTTTGGAGCCTAATGAAGTGGCTCGAACCATTGGGAAGGATTCAGATTCTACCGAAATTTTCCTTTTATCTTCGACTAAAACCGCTAGGATTTTAGTTCGAGTCACCGAGGAGTAAGCATTCCTGGATTTACACTCTAACTCTAGAAGCCAAAAATTGGCCCTAAACATAGCTAGTAACAACAAAGATATCACTAGAACAATGTAAGCAACTAAACTTCTTAAAGATCCTAGACTACAACCAGCTTCCAAATCCATAAACACACCCTTATATGGGCCAAGKCCTCTACAATCAGGCCCAATATCAGAACCGGTGATGAAGCGACTTACGGTGGTGGATCGGACGTTTAATTCTGGGAGCATTGGAAAGGTTGGTGCAGTTGAGGACCACCACCACAAGAGATATTGCGGTGGGTTTAAATCCGGCGGAGCCCAAAATGTAAATGGCTTGGATGAACCAGAAGCCTCGCCTTGATATCTTGGCCATGGATGGAGTGGTGGGCCTAAATCTCGTCGAGGATGGAGGTGAGGGAAAAGGTCGATGGAGTGGTGATTTTTTGGATCGGAGAGCAGGGATGAAGATCGAAGCACCTCCACAAGAGAAGGGTCTGGTGGATATGGTAACTTCGGTGGTGAAGAGGGCTCGCATGGCTCTGGAAAACGCGGGTCTGGTTTTGGGCGAAGAGATGTTGAAGTTAGATTCCTCGTCACCACACTGAGGTCGGCAGCGATGGCTTTAAGCCATAGACCAATCTCCGGCYTTACAGATTCGGACGGMGGAGGGAGAGGACATCGCGACGGTCGCGATTTGCAGATCTCGAGACCAAGATGATTCACCGGAGAGATGGATCTCCGATTGATTGCATGTGAGGTCTCGAGAGTGAGAAGCATGGCTTCTCAGGTGAAGCGATCAGCGACGGAGGAGGAAGCTCGAACGGCCATGGAGATCGGTGGTTTTCGTTGTTGGAGGCGCCTAGGGACTCAGCCCCGAGAGAGAAAATTAGGGCTAACTACTTAGCATGATCTATATTTATATGCTTTTCGTCTGATTTATATCTGAGATTAATAATTATTCTTCGCTGTTTGTAATGTTTTCTTCCGTCTGGTTGGTTTTTTTTTGTCACGAACGCACTTTATTCCATGATTAATCAAATACATTCGTATATGGGAACCAATGAAAAATTGAAGTGCTAACATAAGATAAAACTAAATTCCGTAGTCGAGCGGTACGGGCAAGTAGGTTTGGTTCGTATTTGTTTGCTCTAAGTTTCTAAGCTAATCGTCTAATTGTCTATGTTCTGTCTGATTCTTGTTATATATTTAATGTTTTTAAATTCTATAATAGTCTATTTGTTTATTTTTGTAGTAATTTGTTTTAATAGTTTATTTATGGATTATAATTGTTGAGTAATGGCTTTTGTTCTTAGGTGAGTGGAGTATATCAAATGCTTTTTATTCGACTGATATTTTGCTTGATTCAAAAGCACCTGTTGTTCAAGATTTTAGAGCACGGT